TTCCAGCCCAAATGTCTATGAAATCTATGAAATCTACAAGTATGCACATTAGAAAGGCACCTGTCACAAAACCTGCTAGTCAGGAAGATGTAACATTATGTGGCTTAGATGACACATAACACGAGGACGGGTGGCACACTGGGTACAGATAATATCCAAGGCAGCGACTGCTGCACATGGCTTGCCAACCAGCCACTGATTGGACTATGTTCACGTGAGCATGTGTCAAAGAATTTCACATAATGAGACCAGTAGTCAAGTGCACAGCAAAATCCTGCACGGCTCTGGGACAGAAAAGGAGCATAATTCCTTCACCATTTTCTCGGTGGGGTACACCTCGCCTGCCTGCAGTCACACAAAAGGTGTGTTTTCAGCGCACAACAGACTCAGGTTATCGGCACTTGGGAGCACCCACCTGGATTCATCTAATGCTGGTGTAAGCAGGCAGATCACAAAATCCTACCCCAGTTACTGTCCACACAAATCCTGTGCTTCCCCAGGGGTGTCACTGGGTCTTTTGAGGCCATCTCCATGCTTTGTTACACTGCACTGAGCTATGCTGGTCTGCGAGTTTCCCCCCAGTAAACAGGAGAATTTCTCTGCTTCTGGCCATACACAGGAGTTGTGGAAAGGACCTGGAGACTTTTCACCAATGGCTATGTCCCTGTTTCACTCATTTGATCACTGATATTTATTTCCAATTGGCGTTTCCTAGCATGTTATTGTGACCACTCATGACTTGTCTAATGATCCGACCTCCAGGGGCTGCCTTTCACACTTGACTACGACTAGACAACGATGACTTGTCATGGCAGGAAAATCAATGCCTTTCAAAGGCACTTTGCAAGAGGTCAGGCAAACAAGTCCCAGCTCTGCACACTGCTGAAAGCTAGTGGCCAGCTTGTTGGATCTCTCCCGTCCCATACAACGCAAGCCACAGGGCACTGTAACATTAGCAGCGACAGTTGTGAAGACTTGCACAGCTTGGCTTGCCAGGGCCTGTGGCTTCACACTATAGACTGCTTGCAAGCATCCACTTATTTCAGGTCTTTTGCAAATCCCAGAAGATGCATGAATGATTGTCACCAAATCTGGGCCACCTGTTTAAAAGGCACCTGCTATGGTGCTATGGGAGCTCCTGTGACTCCAGCTGACCATGAGGCCATGTTGTACTCCAGGGGCGGTATAAATACAAAGAGAGGTAAGTAGAACAGGGGTTGCCTACTGTTCTTGTCCTGATTTTTCTAAACCAGTGGGAGTGGGAGATTTTAACGTAATGAGTCCAACCTCCAAGCTGTCAGCATGGTTTTGAGTTAAATTGGCAGAAAAGGCAGATGAAGAAGGCTTCTGTCCAATCCCAGTGGGCAAATCGTGAAGAACTAATGGTCAAAGCAGAAATCTGCCAAACAACTTCGTTGTTAGAACAGCCTCATTCTTACAAATAACCAAGGGAATCTGGATGAATTCATTGATACGAGCAAGTCAACCAGTCCTACAATCATCTTCCTCTCTGAACAGCTATTCATGGGCAAAATTACATGGAGGATTGTCACACACATTCAGATGGGCCTTTATGCTATTTGCAGAACAGGGTATAAAGGAGAGGGGGAAAAAAACCTTCCAGTCCTTGTACACAGCAGTTCCACCAATTTAATTCAAATTGGTTTCAACAATTATGGGAGCCCAGGTAAACATGTCATGGATATAACAGCTGCTCTAGTGTAATAAGGTGAGATCACAAAGTGCCTATCTGCTCTTTGGAACAGCAGTCACTTTGAAATGTACATTTGTACAGCACCAAGCACGAGACCCCGATTGTCCCGCACTGGAGTTCCATGTCCATGTACAAAATCAGATTAATTTAACAGGACACCTTCTAACTTTTTGACCGTGATTAACGGTGCTCTACCTACGAACACAAGCGCAACTACTGCAGTAGTTGGGTACTTCCCAAATAATTGAAACCAGAAAACAACCTTCTCTCCATACTTACAGGAGATTAAAAAAAAGCCTGAAAAGCTGTGGGTCCTGGTTGCTGCTGACTGCTGCACTATTTACATTTGGAGGGGTTCCCACAGTCTGGGACTGGTACCCTCAATATATCTGCATTCTTAAAAGAGAGATGGAAGTTTTTTTCTTTTGGCATTCCAGAAATACAACGGGATGAGAGAAAAAGAGAGAGAGAGAGAACACGCTAGAGGTAGCAAACTGTCGCCCTTGCAAAATAAAATATGTAGCAGCAAAATCTCCTGTGTCCTACTAAAACAGGCCTTTAAGTATTGTGCCAAGCACCTAGTGCAGAGCAATAGGTAAAACCCATTTCTTTTCTCACTTGATATTACTGTACCCGCACCATAACACTAGAACCATGCCTGCTGCCCACGTTATTGCAGAGATGTTGTTAAAGAGCACTTTGTGGTCTCACAATAATTACAGAAATGAGCTTGAGCCTTACCTTCAGCTCCCCAGAAATGCCCCGGACCAAGCGGACAGGGATGGACCGTCACTGACCAACGAAAGCCTGGGTGTTGTCAAGTGAGGAAGTCTAGTTTGCCTCAACAACCGACTGCTGCAAGCCTGGTATTGATGCCTGATGTCAAACGCTCAGTGGCTGCCAGGTTAAAATGTATTTTGGGCAATGTTGATTGACTTTCGGTGCGCAGAGGCATTGTGTCACGGGATGGCCACAGCTCTCCACAGAGGAGGTGACATTCAAGCAAGTGAGATCTTGCCATCTTTTATAGTCATCCTCACTTTTAACACGGAAAAGAACAAGAATAGAAAAAAAACCCAACAACCTGGAGTCATCAGGCTCTAACCTCTCTTCTTCTGTGCATCACGTCTTGTCTGTCATTCTTGTTTAGGTTGTCAGCTATTTGGGACAGGACCTGCCTTTATTGTTGGGCCCAATGCCAAACACAGTGCTTAAAAAAATAGCTGATGTCAATAATGGAGCAAAGGTATGGTATGCAGGATGATCCTCATCAACAGCTGGACCCTGCAAACATCTGTCTGACCCCTGGGCTTCTGTCTGGCCCAAATTCAGGTCTAAAATCTTCAGTTTGCAATGAGCCCCACAAAATGGGCCAGTCCCATATGGATTTAGATTGGGGTGGGCAAAAGGGTGGATCTGGCCGGGTGGATCTTTCCCACCAGCCCCTACCCACGCCGCTGTGGCCAGTTTCCCTGGAGACCCCGTGACAGGATGGGACGAGGGTTTCCCGGGTTGTTCAGATCCACCTGTTTTTTTACCATGAGCCATCACTACAGCAGCAGCACAACTGCTAGTATCTGCTCTCAATAGCCCATTGCCCTGTTAGGAAGAACCAAGACCGGAAACTGAGACTAGGCAGCCTGACAGCATGTGGTAAAGGGCTTCTCTCGGCTCCTTTGGGGAGATGGGTCCACACTCTCTTTTCCCAATATTCAGTGTTAATTTTGTTTTTTCAGCATCCTCCCATGAGGGTACGGGTATGCACATATTTTGTCTCTTTTATAGAAAGCTCAGTCAAGCTACACTCAGGGATGCAGAGCAAATCCTGCTCTGCCACAGAGTCTCTGGATAGCCTTGGTCAAGCCACTAAAAGCCATGTTTTCAAGGATACCCAGTGAGATTGCCCAAAGCCCCCACATGCCTCGACAGTTAAATCAAAGCAAGTTAGATATCTCTGGGCACCTCTCTGAAAAATTAAGTGCCTTTAAAAATCTGCCTATGTCACTCTGGGCCTCAGTTCCCCACCTGTATAACAGACATAAAAACCCTGTCCAACTGTACAGAGGAGCAGCAAGATGTTGGGTCATGGGGCCATGTAAATATGTAGGAAAGACGCATTATTTTCCAGACCGTGAGGCATTTTTGAGAAGGAGCCAGCAAATGAGGATCCTAGCCCAGGTTCTAATTCAGGAAAAATCCTTATTCCAGGCAACACTTTAAGTCCTCTAAAAGTTGGGCATGTGCCTAGGTGCTGGCCTGATTTCAGGCTGAAGAACTGGTGCTGTTCTTTAGTGTTGTAAACAGCACTGAAGTACTGATTCCTGCCAGCTTGTTCCTGGGCCTCCTTGTCATCTATAATTTAGGATGAATTGCCCCATGGGGAAGAAGTCCTATCAGCTTCTGCTTTTATGTTAACAGCAAGAGGCACAAGCAAAGTGCATAGCCAGGGAGAACAGCTCTATCTAATTGCAGAGATGACTTATTTAGCGTTTCCTGTTCTCACTGCACGTGACTGAAAGCACTTGGTTCACGCAGGCCGCTCTGAAGGTCTTTGACTCTGCAGATCCTCGCCGCGGATGCACTTTGGATTCTGCTACTGGTGAACTCTGCACATGAGGAGAGAGAGGGTGGCGAGGTCTCCACAAGCCTCCTAACCTGTGTCTTTCACACAGAAGCTACGGGCTGACCTCACACTACGACACCGTATCTTGGAGGTCACTGGAGCTTTCATTTACTGCTAGCTGGGGTGTGAAACAGCACCCTATACTGTTTTCCTCTTACTGCTTCTCCCAGGAGCGCCAAGCCACTGCTCCCAAGGCATTTGCAAGACAAGGCAGGCATAGGGCAGGAGGAAAGAAATATTAGCAAGTGGGGAACTGAGGCACAGAGCATGGCAGCAACTCCCTGGGATCGAGGGAATGTGTAGCAGATCTGGGAGCTGAATCCAAACCAATACTTTAAGTGCAAGACTACAGGCCTTGGCACAAGGACCACTTCCCGTGAGATCAGCTGCTCCATAGTAACTGCCCCTGTGCATGCTCTTTGATTGATGGCGTAAGCCATTGCAGCTAAGCTTCCCTCTACCGCAGGGGAGAAGCGTGCACACAGGCAGTTCCCACAGAGTAGCCAGTGCTTAGTAATCTTCACCCCCTTTTTACCACCAGTTTGTGTGCATGCTACACACTCCTCTGCTAATTCCCTTGTTGCCAGAAGAGCTCCATCTTGCCTGGCGGCTCTGGGTCCTGGCCCTTGGTTAACATACAATGACTCTCTGCCCCAGTACACGTTCCCCCCAAGCTCCACGTCCAATGCAGCAGCTCTTAAAACGTGGATAACAGGATTTTGAGAGATCCCGGCGCTCACCCCAGGTGTGGACAAGCCTAACTCCGCTGACTTCAGGACTGGATTCCTTTCTGCAGTGTGACCTGGGATGCTTCCCAATTCATCTGTGAAAGCAAGGGTTTTTCCTGTCCACAAGATGGCTCTGGAGCCATACAATTCTCCTCACTGCCTGCCACAGGAAGATTTGCTATCAGAGAGCTATTGATCCTTGCTTACTTTGCCCTTTGCATTTTCCTTGTCTCTAGCCTACGTGAATCCCTCATGCTCCCAGGCCCACCTGGGGCTCAACTCCCAGCTGCATGCCTGGGGCTGCCTTTCTCATTGTGCTCCAAGCTGAGCCCCCCTGGAAAGGTTACTCCTAAAATGTTTTGGTGAGAGAAGGGGTATAGGGGTATTGTGTTGGTCTAACAACACAGGCAGACAAGGCAGACATCTCATTTGATTTACCAAAAATTTGGTGAGAGAAAGAACATTGGTAAGCAGGTCAGTTGTGTTTCTCTGTCTCTAGTTTTTGCAACTTCCCTTATGCGCCTTGCAGTCTGGACACTCTCCTGACCAGAAACTCAATTTTAAAAGCTGCCACAACATTATCTATGTACCAATAATGTTCTCAATAAAAAGAGCACCTTCAAAATCAACATGTCTGGCCCCCCCCAGTATAGCCTTACATGAAGATTCACAGTGTTGCACTGGCCTTGGGCACTGACTCAATGGGGGCAGGATCTTCTAACTCTGAAGATAATTATGTACAAATAATACCCACCCTTCACTTACACTCATTAGGCAAACCCAGATAACCCCTTCACTTACCCTGCATGGTGCATTGGAAGGAGTTTTATTAGAAGTCAGCTCTATCCTCCTCCCACAGATGTAAAGGTGAGTTTTCCCGATGACTCTTTAACAGTATCCACACTAAGAGAGCACAAGGATAATGCCCCCCCTCCACAAAATGAATTGCATTTTATGGGGGGGGCTTAAGCCCCCTCCACAAAATGAATTGCAAGCTTGTGCAAATAAACACATCATTTCTCTTCCTGACAAATTGCTATGCAAATGCCATCTGCTAACAGAGACTAATAATGGTGGGAGAGAAGGAGCCAGCTGGGTTCCCCAGCACTACCCAGCTACTTGGAGAGAAGGGTACTGCTATCCCACAGGGCCTTGCTGAAGGGAGAGTGCTTGAAGGCAGTCTCTTGCAAAGTGCTTGAGCTGCAAAGTAGAGGCAACATCCTCAGCCACTACCTTTCCGAGCAACTGCAATCCTTGAACTGCAGGGAGGCAATATACCTACTTGCTCAACAAGGCACTATGCTAGTCATAGCATATAAATGGATTCCAAACAGAGCACCCCATGGATTAAATGCTCATTGCCTGTGGAGCTGATTACTTACAAGACTCTGCACAGCAGAGAATGTTTTAAAGATGGCTGTATATGGCTTGTCTTTTATGTACTGAAAGATAAAGCTAAGTTGAGGAACCTCCTTTGCCTGGATGATCATTTGCACATAAGGATGCATACCATTTGTTTTTGTGGTGCTTATTAGAATCATAGAAAATTCAGGTTGGAAGGGACCTCAGGAGGTCATCTACTCCAAGCCCCTCCTCAAAGCAGAACCACCCCAACTAGATCATCCCAGCCAAAGCTTTGTCTAGCCGGGTTTTGAAAACCCCCAAGGATGGAGCTTCCACCACCTCTCTGGGTAACCTGCTCCAGTGTTTTACTACCCTCCTAGTGAGAAAATTCTTCCTGATATCTAACCTCAACTTCCCTTGCTGCAACTTGAGACCGCTGCTCCTTGTTCTGTCATCTGCCACCACTGAGAACAATTCAGCTCCGTCCTCTTTGGAACCTCCCTGCAGGGAGTTGAAGGCCAACTTCTATGGCAT